GGGGGGGGGGGGGGGGGGGGGGGGGGGCTACACCGTCGATTCGCCCAACGGAAACTTGAGTGCGGCCTTCGTGATGGTTTGTATCAGTACGTCAATGTCCTGGGCTCCTGAGCACGACGGCTGGCCATTGACGAAGAGAAATGGAATAGCTGGCAGGAAAATAGGTTGAGAATATATAAGAGTATCACCTGTTTACTAAATCAATTTTCTAATATCTAAAGATGCTTTTTAAACAAATGAGTTGCATTAACGAGGAAAAGTTTAGCAAAAGAGTGATACATTTTCCATTCTATAAAATAATGAGGAAATGTTTTAATACATTTTTGAAATAGGGAAAATATTTCGAAAGAGTATGACATCTTGCCCACCGTAAAAAAACACACAAAAAACAGCCTGCTACTGCTACGAAATAATAGGCATTATTTAAATATTATAGATTGTACGCTGCTGAAGCTTTACAGGAATATGACTCAGAAAGTTCTAATCCAACATTGGCAAAGGGGGCCATCCATAAATGACGATACACAAATTTTGCCAGCTTTTATCCCGCCCCCCCCACACCCTTTTTTCAAAATCGTCACAACTCGTCACCAAAGTTAGACCCCCTCAAATATTACGTCACAAACGTCTCTCCCCGCCCCTCAATAAATAAATCTCTCTGGTCATCGCTTTGCAAACCCTTAAAAACCACATATCCCATGGATATCGAATTACTGCGTCTGTGTCAGAGAAATTTCCCTAGATTATAGGTTCTGAACAAGAAAATTGTATATGTTGCCGTTGCTAGTTGTTGCTGCCTTTAAAAGGGCCCCTCCCTTCGCCATCTCCCCTTGCTACACTGGTGCACCCCAACCTTGGCTTATGGCCCCAAATCCATTCCCACGATTCCCACCATGGGTGACGCTGCTGCCCCTTGCTACACTGGTGCACCCCAACCTAGGCTTATGGTCCCAAGTCCATTCCCACCATGGGTGACGCTGCTCCCCTTTGCTACACTGGTGCACCCCAACCTAGGCCTATGGTCCCATGCCCATTCCCACCATGGGTGTCGCTGCTCCCCTTTGCTACACTGGTGCACCCCACCCTAGGCTTATGGTCCCATGCCCATTCCCACCATGGGTGTCGCCATTCCCCCTTGCTACACTGGTGCACCCCAACCTAGACTTATGGTCCCATGCCCATTCCCACCATGGGTGTCGCTGCTCCCCCTTGCTACACTGGTGCACCCCAACCTGGGCTTACGGGCCCCTGTCCGTCCCCACGATGGGCGCAGTCTCTCACCCTCCAAACAAACACACTCAGTTTCTAGTATCTCCTCGGCCAACTTACCCATGACACCCTGCTTACGCCACGAGACAGCCTTGTGCTTGATTCGCTCCTCGTTCTCGGGGCTGGCCAGGTACCGCCTCACTTCCGTCACATTGAAGCCAACATCTTGAGCAATTTTCAGCAAGTGCTTGGCCTCCAGCGGTCTGCCCTTTGTGAAATATGCCTGCGTCGGGACGATTAAGTAACCAAGTTGATTACCGCTGAATCCGTGGTCAGAAATGTCGTAAAATTATTCGTCTTAATGCAAGTCACACACACACACACACGGGTTGTCTTCGTCATGGCGAAACAATGATTCTGGTTTACTTTATAATTATATAGATACTTCAAAACTCTATGTAGGCCCTCTCCATGTTGCAACACCATGCACACTTTCGGATAAGTCAATGTCACCCACACACCATCTCCACCCACTGGCATAGGAAGGGGGCGTGGGTGGTCCGGGCGGAATATATAAAAACAACACCAAACATTCTTAGACTACCGGTGATTCCCCTCTGCCATTGTTTAATGTAATTTATCTCTGTCGTGGAAACTATTATTAATTAATCGGGAATTTTTTGTAGACCTAAGAGCCAATGTCAGTTGTTTTTTGTTTTTTTGTTGTTTTTTTTTTTGGTTGTTTTTTTAAATGTTGTAGAGAAAGGCTTTGAGTCGAAATGTTCATTTTATTGTATCGTATTTCTTTGTTATTCAAGTTTCAGCCTACGTCGTTCTGAATATTTTTTTATTAAATAAGCAGTTTTGAATTGTAACTAATCTTGTACGAACTCTCAAAGCTTCCATCTTGGCACTCATCACATTTGAATGACTCGTCCCCAGAGATGGTGTTGTGAGTAAAACGTAGAACAAACCAAAAAATGGAATAAATGCTCAACTGATTTAAAATAGCAACAACAAAAAATAAACTTCTCAAAATTGTATGTGGAGACCTGGAAACTCAACCTTTTAATAATCACCCTGGCCACTCTGACACTTCGTTCTGTGGGCAAGTGCCCCAAATATTGCTCACCTTAAACAATCGCTCTGACACTTCGTTCTGTTTGCTGCCGTCTCCGTGCAGCTTGGCGTACTCCAAGAGGACGTGGGCGGGGACGGTGAACGGATAAATGGGGCACGTGAAGTTCAACTCCAGGCCCAGGCTTTTCCCGGTTTCTTTCAAGTGTTGAGCCCTAGATTTGTGTGGCAATGAATGAGGGAAATGTTAGCTTTTGTCTGATGTGCATTGGTTGGGATTTCTAAAGCACACATGATGTGCATTGGTTGGAATTCCTAAAGCACGCCTGCTGTGCATTGGTTGGAGTTCCTAAAGCACATCTGATGTGCATTGGTTGGAATTCCTAAAGCACATATGATGTGCATTGGTTGGGATTCCTAAAGCACGCCTGCTGTGCATTGGTTGGAATTCCTAAAGCACACCTGATGTGCATTGGTTGGAATTCCTAAAGCACGCCTGATGTGCATTGGTTGGAATTCCTAAAGCACGCCTGATGTGCATTGGTTGGAATTCCTAAAGCACATCTGATGTGCATTGGTTGGAATTCCTAAAGCACATATGATGTGCATTGGTTGGGATTCCTAAAGCACACCTGATGTGCATTGGTTGGAATTCCTAAAACACACCTGATGTGCATTGGTTGGAATTCCTAAAGCACGCCTGCTGTGCATTGGTTTGAATTCCTAAAGCACACCTGATGTGCATTGGTTGGGATTCCTAAAGCACATCTGATGTGCATTGGTTGGAATTCCTAAAGCACATCTAATCATACTAAATGGTCGAAAAGTGGCAAGGGGGTGGGGGAAGAGGGGTCTCCAAAAGTGGCTCGATTCATACACCCATGAAAGACGTTTACATCTTCAAATTTAAGAAGTGTGTAAAGAATCGCTGATTTCCGATAAGTCTACTTGAAAGTGTACTCACGTTTTGCTAAAAAAAAAAATATTTTTTTTTGAATCCCTGAACTGAGAGTTTATCTCCAAATACCATGAGTTTCCTGTAGTGCAAGTCCATTTGAACTTTCCACTTACAAATCTCTCGTTTTAGACTTAAGTATCACGTTATACATTGAACTCGTTTGATGGCTATTTTCAAACTCTAATGGTTTTTTGTTCCCTCTCATCTCTCATGTCATCACATGACGTCAGTCGCCCATAAGCCCCCCTTTAAATGATAACCACCCGAAGTAAAATGTTCGATGCGTGTTATTCCCCTTGCTTCTTTATTACCTCCCCTTTTTAAAAATAAAAAAAAAAATAAATAAAAAAAAAAAAAATAGTTGTTTTGTGAAGTTATTTAAACTACTTTCCAGACCAAATCAATTGTAAAAATAAGATTTCTTGACTCGGTGCAAACCACCCGAAGTAAAATGTTCGATGCGTGTTATTCCCCTTGCTTCTTTATTACCTCCCCTTTTTAAAAATAAAAAAAAAAATAAATAAAAAAAAAAAAAAATAGTTGTTTTGTGAAGTTATTTAAACTACTTTCCAGACCAAATCAATTGTAAAAATAAGATTTCTTGACTCGGTGCCCTTAAGATGTGCAGTGCCTTATTTGCCTTTAGGTTTATCTGGCACTGAGGGGAGGGGAGGTTTTTTTTTTAATGGTCCAAAAATAATGTGGCATCATTTATGGAGTGGTAATAAGGGGGAGAGACTGCAATCAGGTTAGCAAAAAAAAAAAAAGGGAATGAGTGAAACAAAGTATGGGAAAACCTGCAAAAATAAACGCAACAAATCAACGAACTTGTCGGCGGGAATTCTTCATCAGCGATCTAAGAACAGTAAAAACAGAAAAACAATTTTTTTTAAATTGCACTTAGAATTCTTTAGCTGCCCTCTCGCATCCTGCTTTTCAACCAAGTGCAATTTTTTTTCAACATTGAAAAATAATAATGTTTAAATTCCTTAACACGTACTTTACCCTTTACTTTAGTATATTAATGACTAGTAATGTCTACTTTTTTTTTTTTATTATCTATTATTACTCAAACTCAACTAATTAAGGAAACTCCCAAAGAAAACCTGGTACTACCTTGGACAAGCTAAGTCTCCGCCGATTGGCTGCTCCACTGGGAGGCCGTCTCGCGGGCAGAGTGGGTGAAGGAGAAACGGTTCCCAGCGCACGCGGAACGAGAATCTTTGTTCCAAGACGTTCGTGGCGTGCTCGAGCCTCCGTTTCATCACCCAACACCAGGGTCAGATCACGTCACTCACGATATCGATGTTGACCTGGGGTTTCCGGGCACCTTCGCCCTCACCAGCTGCAGCATGAGCAACCACCTCCGTGGCTATGGCCGTGTCGGACATGGCGGATAGCTAGATGATACGTGCTTTAAGAAGGAAGAAGCAGAAAACGATGGTGGAGATGAAAAGCGGATGGTTTATAATTTTAAACAATAAGATGGCGCATAATACTGATGCGTCTCTTCGGCGTTTAACACCAGTGCATTTTGGCGCACAGTGATAAATTGGCTGTACCAGAATTAACGAAGAACAAGCGTAAAATGGAAAACTACTATGGTAGTATGCATGCCTGACGATTATTGTTGTGTGTAGTGAGTGGACTTCGTTACCTGATTGGCCTGTGTTGTCATCTTGCATGAAAAACTTAAAGGTGTGAATATTGGTCTAATTGGTTGGAGAAAGGAAGTGAGTGATCATGTGATGTGATGTACAAAAAAAAATTGAAAAAAAAAAATGGAAAAAAAATGAGGAATATAGTTTAGTTGTTACAAAGACCACAGACGAGCTGGGATCGTATTTTACTCTATTACAGTGTACCGGTATATTAATTGCAATCTGGCTCTATTTACCAAAACAAATGACACGTTGAAAATTCGTATCTAGTGCATGGGCGCCCGCAGAAAAACTTTCTGGGGGGGGGGGGGGGGGGGGAAAAAAAAAAAGGATATATTTT